TGTAAAAGTATACCAATGTTAAATTCCTGATCACTATTTTAAAAATGATAATTTTTTATTATGAAAAATTTCATTTTGGGGCCTCCCCTGGTGGCGCAGCAGTTTAGCGCTGGGCTGCGAAGCTGCCTGCAGCCTCTGCAGCGCCAGTTCGATCCTCGGCCACCAGCAAGGGTCCCACATGGCGCGCAGACCTCTCCTGCCACACTGCTCCCCTCAGCAGTGTATTTTGGCCCATCTGCCTGTTCTGTTCCCTGCTCTGGCTCTGGTGAATTCTCTCACCCTCCCACACTTCTGACTGTACCCAGTGCTTGTATAAATAAATAAATCTTTAAAAAGAAAAAAAGAAAAATTTCACTTTTTCCTGTAAATAGTATTCTTGTGATCTTGTGTGATCAGTTCTAATTAAATAATTTATTCTTGAATGTCACATTTTAGATGTGATACATTTTTATTAAAGCTGTAAATTGACTATCATAATTTTGCTAATTGGTTCCAGTAAGAATTGAAATGAGCATTGTTTGTTTTTCTATACTAAGTAAAAAGAAAGGAAATTCTGTTGTTCTTGAAAATTAAATAACAGGTCTTTATTTTCTATACTAAATTAAAACCTATTACATTCCTCGGTGCAAAAAAACAATATAGTCAGTGTAGTGGTACCCAACTTCGTAGACCTTTCTTTTTTGGAGAGCAAATTATTTCTGGATGAAAAATCTGCAATAAAAATTAGATGGATACTACGTATTTTTAAGCTAGCCCAGTTATATAGTTCTGTTTGATAAGTAATTGATTAGGTCAGACTATTAAAGCATTTATTCTGACATGTACATTGTATACGATAAAAGGAATCCAACTGTGAATTTGAGTGTATTAAATAATCTTCAGGAAGTTCCACAAAGAATATTTGAATGCCTTGAAACTTGCAATAATGCATGTTTGTTCCAAACACATTTGCTTTGCCTAGGTTTTACCCATCAGGTTGAAGAAATGCTAATCTTGTTGTTTTCAGCAGCTGGGTTTTGCAATACTCTTTTCCTTCTCTTAGGGGTTAATTAGCCTTCTTTCAAAATGTGGCCTATTTAGCTGTAGATTCGCATGATTCAGCCAGAGCTGGCTGTACAAAGCAGAACCGTTAACAGGCGGGTGTGTCCAACTGCTTAATTAGCCAGAATAAAAAGGTCCTTTGTCATACAAGCATCTGTTGCTCTTGACACACCTGACAGCCACATTAGGCAAGGATGACTAGACTGAAATTGTGCATGTCTCTCCTGCAAGAATATACAACTCATTTACATATGGGCTGCATCATGGACAAACTGCAGGGGTTTATTTAGCTTATCAAAATGGATTAATGTGACTGCATTTGTGGCTTATAAACAAATATCACTTGAAAGGAGGTTGTGAAGGAACTAAACTAACTAAATTACTCTCAAACATAAACAAAGCACCACAAACCACTGCTAGCTGAATGAAACACCTCAAATGTACATACAAACCTTTACATTGGTCTAAAACAAAACCTACAAATCAAGCATGTGAAGGTATTACCCTCATGTGATAATCCTTGCTTTGTAGAAATATTGGAAAGCTACCAAAATACTCTGAATGTGTCAGTGGCTTTAAATGATCTGTTCAGCAAAATTTGGCAGGAGGGTTGTACTCCTCAAACATACTTTAACATTCTGATTGATCTGATTGATCTAACTGATCTTAAATCAGGTTTTCAGAGTTAATCCGTTAAAGTGCCTCTGTAAAAATACTTATTTGGGGATTTTAGTATGTCTTTAGTAGAAAAAACTATTTTTTTTTAATTTTGATGTTAGGGAGGGAATGTTCATTTGTTTTTGTTAGAAGTTTAGATCAAGTACAGTGATGGAGAATTCCAAAGACTTTGGATTCAGATAAACTAAATGGCAACCCTCTCATCATGATATGGCAAAGCAGTGTACAGTGGTTCACAGCATGAATTTTAGAGTTAGACAAACCTAGGTTTGAGATCAGGCTTTTCCCCTTTCTAGCTGTGTAGCTTTTAGCAAGTTTTTTAAATCCATTTGTAGCTTTGTTTCTTCATTTGTATAGTGGAAGTAATAATTAAGGGAGATCTGAGGATTAAATGAGAAGATATATTTCAAGCACTTAAACGTATTGCTTGACACCTGAAAAGGACTGGTTAAATGAGAGACCTAATTATGGTTGTGACTTTGATCCAATTTCTGGAATGGATGTGACTGAGACACTCTTAAGGCATAGGATCTTGACAGAGAACCCCTTGCTCAAAGTTGAGGGAGGCAATGAAATTAGAGAACAATGAAGTTTTGTCTATTAAGGAAAAATGAATGCAAATTCTAGAGACTAAATACTTATTAATTGGCATGACCCTGTTGTCCAGCAGCCATGGAAACTGGGTAATGAACAGTAGCTAAGAGTAAACAGAAGATGCCCTGGGATAATTTTTGGTTGTCCTGGAATGAATGGGTTTTATGCCCCATTTGGATGCGGTGTATGTTGAGAGGCAAAGGCTGGATGAAAGTTCTCTGTAACTCTCTAAGTTATATACGCCATCACTGTCTACATTACAGTCCCTACTCTATTCTGTAAAGTTTTCCCCTCTTATGTAGTTGGATCATTTTTCATTCTTTCTCATCCGAAAGTTTACCAATAAAACTTTTCTCTACTTTTTTCAGTGCTGTCTGTGCATCACGTATTATGAAACTTATATCTTCCAACATGGTTTTATAGTTTAGTGCACAAATTTTAGTGTTAGTCCAATTCTGCCTTTCCTACTCCCTAGATATTTGACCTTGGTAAGGGAAGAGTTTTATGTAGTGAATGTTATCATCCTCAAACTTTATGAATATTTTTGTGGTCTTAATGCTAGTCCAAAGGGATATGTGGTGGTGGTGGTGTGTGTGTTAGTATTTGGAAATCAGTGCTGATTTTTGTAAAAAATAGAATAATCTACCATTTGGAAGGTACTGTTAGGGGGAAAGCATGTCCTGTAATAGTATCATATAAAAATCTGGACTTTCAGTTTATTTTGGAAAAATAGAAGAACTGGCAGGTACAGATTAACCTTCCCACAAATCCACTATTTCTTGGCATTAAATATCAGCTGAACCAAGTAAATGGGGTATTAGTCTTCATTGCTTTCATTTTATATTTTAAACCCAAACCTTCCTTCACTCTGTGTCCCTGAGGTTCTTTATCTGCAAGTAGAGATTATAAACATACCAACCACATTCTATTGCTAAATGAGTTAATTTATTTGTGAATTATGAATTAACATGTAAAACATTTAAGAGTCTTTAGCACATACTACACAATCAGTGCTCTTACTGCTATTATCTTTTATGTATGCTAAGGTTTTTGTGTTGTTTTAGGATTTTGACTAACAAAAGAATAGGTACTTTAGGCCCTGAGTTACCTAAAGTGATACCAATGTCAAAGTCTAGGAAAAAATAAGCACTGGTTCAATGAAAAAGCCTAGTTAGTTCCATGTCTACAGCTGTCACCTTGAACAAGGCTTTTAACCTCTCTGGGTTTTAGTTTCCTCGTTTATAAAATAAAAAGAGTAGATTAGATGTCTTCACATGTCCATTTCTAAAATTAAATGAGAGGATAGAAAACCTTTGGGGGGAAGAGAGAGCTAGAAGACGTCATACTGTGACTAATAATGCTAAGAGGGGTTAATTTTCTACTTGAAAGAACTGAATACGCTTGTAGAATTTTCTTAATGTTTGCTATAGTTGTTTATATTTTAAACCATAATGAAATATTTTTCTTAGACTACCAAATAAATATTGTTTTTCTACCTAGAACAGAAAGATAAAATTCTGGTCCTGGTTCAATAGCAAATTAATATTTAGTGTTTTGACTATACTGTAGCAAACGTGAATATCTACACCAGGAGTTCTGAGAAGCCACACTTGTTAGGGCATACACTGCAAAATTAATCCTGAATTAGTATGTCAGGCACATGAAAACTGAAAAAATGTGCCATGATAAATTTTGAAGGGCAGAAATAAAATTTCATGTTTTTGTTTACAAATCTCATTCATGAAATAGCGGTCTTCCCTATTTTTCAAAATATTAAACATTAATGTTTGGCTATCTTTGTGTAAGAATGTAACTTAACTTTGATTTTACTACTATGTCATAACATAGAGGCAGAGAAGAACTAATGGGTTTGATCATTTGGCTAAGTTTAGTGTTATTTCAATTTGTTTTGGGATATACATTTTTAAAATTATCTCTAAATAGTAATTGGTAAAGACCTTAGAAATATTTATTTTCAAATTGCACATATGCAGTGACATCCTAATATTTTATTAAAAAATGTCTAGAAAGTACATTTTATGGGACCTCCCTGATGGCGCAGGGGTTAAAGTCAGCCAATGCAGCATGAGTTCTATCTCCAGCCAGGGAGTTAACCCATGTGGCACAGCAGTCCTCTCCTGTGTTGCCCACTGTTCCCCTCAGCAGTGTATTTCAGTCAATACTTCTGTTCTGCACCCCACTGTCTCTGGTGAATCCTCTCACTCCTCTGCCCCCCCACCTCTGGCCTATACCTCTCTTCTTATATGCATAAATAAATAAAAATAATACTTTAAAAAAAGAAAGTACATTTTACGACATCTGTATCCAGTTAAGATTTGTGTTCTGAGAATTGACATTTTGACATAATTTTAGACTACAGTTTGTAATGTGATTAAATACAATAGTTCACAAGAGATGAGGAAGGTAGATTTAAATGATGTTTAACCTTTATAACATCAAGATAAGAGGTAACTAATGGGGATTTAAGAAAATTTGAATTAGTAATTTTCTGTATCAAATAAATGGTCAAATGGACTATAAATATGCATGGACTGTCTTGACAGTATGTTGGGGTAAGAAGTATTCTGAGAGTTCAAAGTTTCAGGAGAGAATTTTAAGAACAAATAAGGCAGCTGGTCATTCAAGAAGGAAATTTAACACTTTATTTCTCTTTTACTATACTTCAGAGACCATCATGCAGACATCAGAGACTGGGTCGGACACAGGTTCGACAGTGACTTTGCAGACATCTGTGGCTAGTCAAGCAGCAGTGCCTACACAGGTGGTACAGCAAGTACCAGTACAACAACAGGTAAGGAGTTGCTATTTTCAGAGAGGATGCTGTGCTGTTCCATGTGCTGACTCTCCAGCACAACTGTGCCCCAAAATGACTTGGATTATGTTATAGTTTCAGCCCAGTGGGTACTAAGATAGGGTTAGGTCATTTCTCAGGTTAATTCAGCAAATGTTTCACAAGCATTTCTGTATTTACCAGGTTTGTTCTATGCTAGACCATAAAGATACGAAGATACAAATTCAAAGTATGGGGATACAGAGATAAATATTCAAAGAATATGTAGTGTTTTGAAAGAGCCTCTAGACTTCTAAAAGAGAGTGCTTGTTTCTGACTTGAACACTAGGTTTTCTTTTTCCCATTCTTTATCACAAATCTGTATTTCTTTCACACTTAAATATCAACAATCATTTAATTTCTTTTTATTGAATTATTATAACATTTCAGTTTCAAAGGTTTCATATCTTTGAGCATCAGCACAGGTATATATTACATTAACCCTTTGCACTCCGAAACATTTTACGATATTTTGATTCAATTTCTTGTGCCATTTTAAGATAAAACTTCAGGGAAACATGCATGTCTCAAAAAGTTGCGTTGAAATAACCTTAATTCCCCGTAATCACTAATAAATTGCAATGTCCCCTGAGAGGGGACAACCGATATGCTAGAATTCCGATGTCCCCTGAGAGGGGACAGCGGAGTGCAAAGGGTTAAATTCACTGCTCAAAGTCCACTTCTGTCCTTCACTAAACCATTGTCCCCTTTGTCTCCATTTACCTGCCCTCTTTCCCACTATGGCAGCCACTATTTGGTCTCACAGTGCAAAAGTTTGTTTTTTGTGTTATTTAACAAAATAAATCATTGTTTTGCTTATTTTATCCTTATATCCCATATGAATGAAATCATATTGTGTTTGTCTTTCCCTGTCTGCTTTATATCTTCTAGATCTATCTATGTTGTTGCAAATGGCAGGATTCCATCTTTTTATAGCTCTATAGCATTCTGCTATAGATATATACACCCCATCTTTATCCAGTTGTCTGCCAAATGGGCACTAAGGTTGTTTCTATCTCTTGGCTATTTTAAATAATACATTGAGGTGCATATATCTCTTTGAATTTGTGCTTTTGTATTTTTTTTGTATTATCCCCAAAGTGGGATAACAGTTTTGTATGGAATTTCTATTTTTAATTTTTTCCAGAATATCTATACTTCTTTCTATAATAACAGTACCCATTTGCATTCCAACCAACAGTATATAAACATTCTCTTCCACATCCTCTCTAAACCTGTTGCTTCTTATCTTTTGGATAATAGCCATTCTCACAGGTGTAAGATGATACCTAATTGTTGATTTGATTTGCATTTCTCAATGAGATGACAAAATTTTTTCATATGCCTACTTGCCATCTGTATGTTTTTGGAGATGTGTCTATACAGAGCCTCTGCCCATTTTTTAATTTTTTTTTATTGATGAGTGTTATGACTTCTTTTTATCTTTTGAATATTAATACCATTTGGGACATATGATATGGAAATAATTTCTCCCATTCAGTAGGGTATATTTTCATTTGTTGCAAGTTTCTTTTGCTGTGCAGAAATATTTTAGTTTGAAGTAGTCACATTTTTTTTTCTTTTGTTTCCCTTGCCATTGGAGTCAAGTCTCTGAACATGTCTCTATGGCAGATGTCAAGGAAAATGTTACCTGTGTTTTCTTATATGTATTTTATAATTTTAAGTCTTAGGTACAGTTCTTTAATCTATGTCAAGTTTATTTTTGTATACGGTATTTGATAGTGGTCCAGTTTCATTCATTGGCATAGGCAGTTCAATTTTTCAAACAGCATTTATTTCCATGTTCAATTATAAGCTCTGACTCTTTTGTCATAAATTAGTTGTTCTTCAGCATATTATTTGTGCTCCAGAAATCTGTGTTCTTCCCTTCTTTTTCTTTTGATTGATTTCTTGTTTCATACCATTGTTATCTGCTGTTACCAACATGTTCGGGGCGGGGGCTCTGTTTTCTGTTTGTGGTGCCATGTCTATCTTTCCTTTCTCCTATTCCTGATCTATGAATTGGCCATCTGTTTGCTTGTCAGTGAACTTCACGAGGTCAGTACCAATCACAAGGGGTGGGGTGAAGGAGAATGCCTTAGAGAACTTTCTTTGTCGTCCTTACTGAGGGTCCAGCCTATGTGGAGCACTCCAGCTCCTTTTTATGGGCTTAACTTGTATCAAGGTTGTGTTCCTCTGTACAGTTTCTACTCTCCTCTCCCTAGGCCCTTTGGCTGAGCTAACAGCCCTGCCATCTGTGCCCCTTGTCGCAGCCTATAGGTGTTTCTTCTACCAACTTCCTGTTTAGTGATATGTTACTCTCTTCCACTTCCCCTCTGATATAGTTTGTATTGGTTTCTGAGGTGCCAGTGGTTCTTCTGTCTTATACTGAGTTATTGGAGTCTGTCAGTGTAGTATCCCTCAGGTTAATTGTTAAGTTTTCTTATCAAGCAAAGAACCTTCTCTGTCACAATACTGGTGAAATCATTCTCATATTTTTATATAATTGAATTATAGCAGTGCTTAATGAAGGAGAGGATGCATAAACCTTATGGGCAGGGATTTTACCTTGTGATGTTTAGAAAGTTCCTGGGCATTACGGTGACATAAATATGTTTAGTGAAAATTATCTTAAAGGTCTGGAGAGCTGAGTCATCCCATTTAAAAAACTAAGAATGAATTCATCATCACATGTTTACTACAGGGCTTATTCATACTCAGGACACTTTTAGCTTACTTGGGTAAGGCATACTGCTATTCATGCCAGTAATAATTTTGCGCAAGGATTATGAAAACGTTGGCTTGTTGTTTCTTCTACAAAGTAATGAGAAAATAAGTGAGAAAGATCAAGTCATAAAGCATTATCTTGAGATTTGCCTGCAATTTGTTATCTTCAAGAAGAATGTTGTTTTTACAATTATAAGTAATTGTGAAGGAAAGGGATATCTGTTCCTAAAGAATAGACGTAGGGACTCAAAGTTAAACTCTTTTTCAGGAGAGGAAAATAGAATGAGCAAGGGAGAGTGCCAGAAGGGTGTTTGACTCTTATGCTAAGTAATGATATCTGAAAGAAATTGGTTTATATTTAAAATTGTGGGACTAAAATTGAATTAATGAATTGGTCTTTTTTACTTCAGCATAGGTTCCTCTAACTGGACTTCTTAACTTTTTTAACTTCTCATGCTCAGTTTAATATTTTTTTTTCCTCTGCCTGGGAATTGAGTAGAGAAGAGGGTTGTGGTATTATACTAATTCACTTAATCCTTCTCTTTTTCAAATGGTGTCACCTGTACTTGTTTTTCCTCAGTGCAGACATTAAACCAAAAAATAAATCTTCAAGCTTTGTCTAAAGTTAGAAAAGGCCAATCACCTCATTACATGGAGTTTGTGGAAGGGGTCTGTATGCTTATTAAACACAATCACTGTTTTTATATTGAATATGTACATTAAAGAAAACAAAAATTAAATTGTTGCCAGAAGTAAAGAAATCAATATCATCTATTATATAGAAGATAGAAGCGCGCGCTCTCTCTCTCTCACACACACACACACATTGTTCATTTCTTAATAATAATCTCATGTATACATGGACTACACTATGGAAAGCACTGGATTATGCCATATGGCTTATTCCCAACAGGCGTCTTTTTTCGTTACAAATTGTCTCTTTTCTCAAGGAAGGTGATGCCTTACATCCCCTTACACCAAAAGAAGGTGAGAACTCTCATTTCCTTTTTTTTCAACAAAGTTGCCGCGGACCAGCACAGCAGTGAGCGATGAGGCTGTATCAGGGTTGAGAGACTGCGCAGGGTGGTCAGGGATTCGGTTAAAGAAATGACAAACAGACACACTTCAAGAGTGAAAATCTGAGTGTAATTTAATTTGAGTTGGTGACCAGTATATATATGTTTTCTAAAAGCATAGGAATGGCGAACATCAGTGAAGAAATCAGCTTGCTTATAGGTTTAGCTTATTATTGACAGGGCAGTGATTTACATCTGGACCCAGGCGCATTCCTAAGTAGTTAGGCTATTAATTTTTCTTTTTGTTTTATATGATTACTTTTTGTTTTAACTACTCACTATTACTAATAATTAACACGGGTGAATTTTACTTTTCACAATGTAATATTTTTATCATTTAGATTAATACAAACAAGGCTAAGTATACAACGGAGAAATTATTAAGCTAGCAGTTCAATTAATACACAGAGTTTAGTAACGTTTCATTTGAATCAGCCTAGTTATTAGATTTCGTATGTTCTTTTTTAATCGGCAAACCAATGACCTTTTAAACAGAGAAAGAGAAAAGATTTTAGAGAGACAGTTGTATTAGAATAAAGTTTGTGGGTCTAGAGAAGGTGAGATAAGTTTCAGAGCGGACAGCATTCCTGTAGTGGCTTCTGGTGGTCGTTATCTTTCAACAGGCTTCCGTCTTATCTATGTCTTCAGGTGGTTTTTTGCTGTTCTCCTCCTGCGCGCTGGTTGCCCAGCCGGACCTAGGGATTCCTAGAAGTCACTGCAGGAGGAGGTGCAGCAAGTATATCTTCAGGGGGTTTTGCTGTTCTCCGCCTGCGGGCTGGTTGCCCAGCCGGACCTAGGGACCGTGGCGCAAGCCATTAGCCCTAAGGGTCACTGCAGGGGGAGGTGCAGCACAAAGTGTTTTTTTTTATATCACATGGTGAAACAGTATAATATTTTCTTTAAGATGTTAAGATCCTAAAATATAGTTCAAAGTCCTATGGACTCTAATTTTATTGTGTAATAATAATTACAAAATAATAATAATTATTTTGTATTATCTCAAGATTCAGTGTTTCACCTTTCCTCTGACAATCTGATCAGGAAGACAATTCTGAGCAAAATTTGCAAGGTCTTATAAAATATCAACTTTCTTGATCTTTTTTAATTTTTCATTTTTTGAAAAAGCACCACAGAATGCCAGCCTCCAAATATAGTCAT